TTTTTTTTTTTTTTTTAAAAATTTTTATATATTATTTTGATTTTTTTTTTTTTTTTTTTTTCTCCCCTAACATCAGTATCAGCATTGGCCCCAAAAATGAGTTGAATTTCCAGTAAATGGGAAAATTTGTAATATTAATAATTAATTAATTTCCTATACCCACTTCTTGACATCCATGATCCTGGGGCTCTGCCCTTTATGTTCGGTTGTGTGGTACATACCTAAATTTGAATTGATGGTGTTTAATATAAATTCTTTTGTGAAAACACATTTTCAGCCTTGTCTGAAAACCATGTGAATAATCGCCCACTGACTCTTGCTCACTTTTTGATAAATTTTGTCTTCTTCATTAAGAGTGTTGGTTGGCCCATGGCCATGGAGGGTGAGGTTGTTTCCATGGAGACCACTCAGACTGGTCCCCTGGCTGCAGAAGGAAAGGTCCTGCCAGAGGGTGGAGACGCCATGATACAAGGGGCAGCCATAGCTCCACAGGGGGAGGTGGCTGGTAACATGGAGATGATGGTGATGGACGCTCTCGATCCAACTCTGCTGCAAATGAAGACAGAGGTGTTGGAGGGAGGCGGCACAGTGACTGTTACTGGAGGAGATGAGGGTCAGATCATCACGCTCCAGGTTGGTACAGAAGCCAGTGTTGGATTATCAGTAGTTGGCCTTGTTGTGAAATGTTTGTGTCATTTGTTCAAATTGAAAGGGTGCATTGTTCGTTGTAGGTGGTGAATATGGAGGAGCAGGCAGGAGCAGCATTAGGCCTTGGTCAGCTTCAGCTGGTTCAGGTACCAGTCACAACAACAACTGTAGAGGGGCTCCAGGCCACTTATGTTGATGCATCAACTGCTAACAAGGATACAGAGCCGGTTATCTGTCACACTCTTCCCTTGCCCGAGGGCTTCCAGGTGAGAAACAACTCTGGTCTTTTATATAATAGGAACAGTCTTTTTTTTTAGTTATGTCCTCAACATGATACAATCAGCGAACTCCTTTGTTGGAAAGAGTCTGGTCACAATAAGAAGAATTTACGTTTTCTTTTAGGTGGTAAAAGTGGGTGCCAATGGTGAAGTGGAGACTGTAGAGCAGGAAGAGCTTCAGGCAGCCCATGAGGAGCTTCAGGGTACGAGAGGAGAGGACGTGGAGGAGGAAGAAGAAGCAGCAGAAGTACAACCTCCTGTGGCTCAGGAGGAAGACCCAGAATGGTCCAAGGACCCTGACTATCAGCCCATCACCACTATGCGTAAAGGAAAGAAAGGAAAGAAGAGTCGCCTGCGCTATGCAGAGGGTGATCGTGATATGGATGTTTCTGTGTATGACTTTGAAGAAGAGCAGCAGGAAGGGCTGCTATCAGAGGTGAATGCTGAGAAGGTTGTGGGCAACATGAAACCACCAAAGCCCACCAAGATCAAGAAAAAAGGTTAGTGGTTGTGGAAGAGTGTATGTCCTGTTTTATAGTCTTGGAAAGTTGTAGATTTGCAGAGCTTTAAATTAACATACTATATTCCCCTTTTGTGTCCAGGCGTAAAGAAGACTTTCCAGTGTGAGCTGTGTAGCTACACCTGTCCAAGGCGCTCCAACCTGGACAGACACATGAAGAGCCACACAGATGAGAGACCACATAAATGTCACTTGTGTGGAAGGGCCTTCAGAACAGTCACACTGTTGAGAAACCACCTCAATACACACACAGGTAATTCAGGGCATTTGTTTGATGCCCTTGCTTCATCTTAGTTTTACATTATGCAGGCAAATAAAGTGTAATTCTCATTTTCTTAAATTTTTTAGGCACTAGGCCACATAAATGCACAGATTGTGACATGGCATTTGTGACCAGTGGTGAGTTGGTGCGTCATCGTCGCTACAAACACACACATGAGAAACCCTTCAAGTGCTCCATGTGTGACTATTCCAGTGTGGAGGTAAATAATCTGCACTGACCTAATTCTTCTCCCTGTTTCCTGCGATGCCCTCTTTTTATATTATTTAAAAAAAATCCTTGTCTCTCTCTTCCCAGGTGAGCAAGTTGAAAAGACACATTCGCTCTCATACAGGGGAGCGACCCTTCCAGTGCAGCCTGTGCAGCTATGCCAGCAGAGACACTTACAAGCTGAAGAGACACATGAGGACACATTCAGGTAAGATACATGCAGTTTACAGTGGTTGAAACACAGTTCACCTCCTGATTGAGAAGTGTATCTCACTCACTATATCCTCTCATCTTCTTTGCAGGTGAGAAGCCATACGAGTGTTACATCTGCCATGCTCGTTTCACACAGAGCGGCACCATGAAGATGCACATTCTGCAGAAACACACGGAGAACGTGGCTAAATTCCACTGCCCACACTGTGATACTGTCATTGCACGCAAGAGTGACCTTGGTGAGTTATGTTACCATTTTTACTTTAGACTGCATGTTATTAAGGGTCACGGATGCGGAGGACGTGTTGGGAAGGCTCGTTTTAAGTCTCTTTAGGTACAATGCATTCATTGCTGTACGAGAGATCATGTTTATTCGATTGTCTTAAAGTTGCCATTCCCAGTCATGTGAGTGCTGGTGTGTCCTATTGAATCATTGTAGAGAGAAGAATTGGAAGAATCTGTATGCTCTGATTACTTCACAACACTTTTTGTCTTTATCCATACAACAGGCCTGTGTAGCATTTGTCTGACTGATTTTCATGTCTTTGCTGTTTCTATCTTAGGCGTTCATTTGCGGAAGCAGCACTCATTTATTGAGACGGGAAAGAAATGTCGTTACTGTGATGCTGTATTTCATGAGCGCTATGCTCTCATCCAACACCAGAAGACCCACAAGAATGAGAAACGTTTCAAGTGTGACCAGTGTGACTACTGCTGCAGACAGGTTTGTGTTACGTGGAGGATGTAACACGTACAGTGTTTATCATATTCTATTTCACCAGTGAATAACTGCCTATCTGATCTATTATGCTACAGGAACGCCACATGGTAATGCACAAGCGTACACACACGGGGGAGAAGCCATTTGCCTGCAGCCAGTGTGAGAAAACTTTCCGGCAGAAGCAGCTCCTGGATATGCACTTCAAGCGCTACCATGATCCAAACTTTGTCCCCACTGCCTTTGTCTGCAGCAAGTGTAGCAAGACATTCACCCGCAGGGTAGGACTGGGCTCTGAGATTTAGTTCACACGGCAGTAGTTTTTTAACTGTATGTCACTGAATTGTGACCATGTTGCCTCACAGAACACCATGCTGCGTCATTCTGAAAACTGCACGGGTGAAGTTACTGGAGAAGAAAATGGAACTCCCACACCCAAAAAGGGCCGACGTGGAAGGAAGAGGAAGATGCAGGCCAGGACGGATGATGATGATGATGATGATGATGATGACGATGATGACGTCAACGACGACGACATAGGTATGCTTTTTATAATTCAATGTCTATTCAATGTCTTTATGGCAACCCCTCAATTTTACATCAAAATATGCTTTAAAAAAAATAGTTCAAAGGTGAACCATTTATCATTTTTGAAGTAAGTGTTAAAAGTTCAAACAACTTTACAATTTAATTTTAGTTTTGAAGTCTGGTTGAAATATTCATCAGGATATTGTTTTGGCCTACTGAAATCACCGCAATACTAACACAATACAGTTTTTGTTTCTGATTGCACAAAATTTTGAAAAATAAGCAGTACGGGATCAGGTATGTTAATCACTACAAGTTAGCTCATGAGCTCAACCTGAAGGCGCTATTGCAAATTTTAACAGGCAGGTACTTCACCAGGAACACCACAAGAGAATATGCCTCTCAAATCATAAATGGTATTGGCAGTTGAAAGTTGTTTTCATCCTGTCTGTCTGCCAGGCTGTACTGCTGTATACTGCCATCTGTTGAAACATCATTGCTGTAATAATGTCCTAATGGCCTCTAACAATTTTTTTGTTTTCTAGCAACATAATTACATGAACTATCTTTGTGTCCATGAACACTTCCTAATGAAGATGTGGTAATATTGAGTAACAGTGTCAGAAAATATGCTTCTGTCAACATTCATATCTTCTTATCATACTTTGTTCATATGTAGAGGATGAGTTGGAAGAGGAAGAGGAGGAAGACGAGCTGCTGACTGAGATTGAGGTTGAACAGGCTCCACCAGTCATCCCTATCCCAGCCCCTGTGGAGCCACCAGTTAAGAGGAAACGTGGACGACCCCCGAAGAACAAACCAGACAGTAGGTGTCACACTTATGATAGTTTTGAACATCATTTAGCAGGGTTTCAGGGCTTTGAAGATTAAATGCCAGCTAATGAACAGTTTGATCACTACTACATAGCTAAACTGTTTGCCTTTAAACCATCATAACAATCTGGAAAAGTATATTTGAACCATATAGTACCAGAGTCTGACCTGAAACTCTCTTAACAGCGGCTGCTATCATCCGTGTTGAAGACGAGGTCACTGGAGAGGTGGATGACATCATTGTGAAGAAGGAGGTCGGAGCCGAACAAGATGACCAGGAGGATGGCAACGAGGAGGTGGTGGTCGGTGGAGTGAAGTCGACCATTCAGATGGATGAGTTGTCCCAGGAGGGGACAGCACAGGAGGTTCAGCTGTCTGGGGCGCCACCTAATGGAGATCTGACCCCTGAGATGATCCTCAGCATGATGGATCGGTGATGGATGTGAACCTGTAGACACACCCAGATCCTTGACCACAGCTTTTAATTCTTGGCATTTAGGATTACAAACACTTGCATCCTGCACAGAAACAAACATCACTGTTGTAATTTAAGATTTGATTATTAATCATGTATCGATAAAGACTTGGATGAAATGAAAAGATTTTTAATAAGGATTTACCTACCAAAAATGCATTACAGTACATTTGAGTTTGAAGTGGCTGTAATTGACATCAGTGTCTTTTTTCACTGTTGCCTTTGGTGTTTCGTAGCTGTCTTATGTGGCAGAGAACTACATTTATCTAAATTACAAAATCTCCTCTGGCTACATTTGTGTAGAGCGGTCCACTGGATATGTTTTTAATACGGTATAACAACTAAATCGAGACTGTTTATGGAATTTAGCTTTTTTTAAACTCCTTTCCTCTTATGCCTTCTTGTTTTTATTTGTTACACAATTGTTGGTAAGTTACATACCTTTGTGCCAGTGGGTAAAAGTAAGTAGATAAATGTTCAATGTCTTCACTGAAGAGCTCCATGTACCTCTCAGTTTGTACAGAAAGCTGCTCTTGTAAAAGTGGAGATGAAAATGGGCTTTTGCAGAGCAGCATAATGTCAAAAACAAGTAAATTTAAGCCCATATTGAAAGCCACTATGGAACTTCATCCAAAATGTCAAAGTTCTTACAGAAATCAAGAGACGAGCTTCAGGAAGATGATACTGTCATTAGTCACAGCCACTTCAAGATTGGAAAAATTTAATATTTTTAATATTTTTATTTTTTGGTTTCTTTTTCTGTGGTTAGTAAATCCCTTTTTAAGCCTATTCTAGTTTTTAAAAGCTTAATAGACGCTTATCTTATGCTCCTCTCTTCCTATTTTAACACCCCTAGATGATGCATATGTACTAAACATTGTCTCTGATAAGTGCAAGGAATGAATGTTGTTTTGCTCCCTTGTGTAGCCATTCCACTTTGGGTTGTTGTTTTCATTTTGTACCATTGGCAATGCAACGCTACCTAGCAGCTTGAATGACATTTTATTAACTGTGTGGCAGACGAGAATAGATGTATGACTGTACAACAAATAAAAAGATTAGCCATTGACAGCCTTTTTAGGTTTCTGCAACTGTAATAATTTCATTCATGGATATTAAATTAATTTTGGTTGGCTGAGCATTTAACACAGGTTAGTGGTATAGTTACAGGAAAAAGAGAGCTTGAATCACTGTTTATCCAAATTAGCTGAGAAACAACTGAGTGTTAACAAATGTCGGTGTACTCTGCTTGCAACTATATTTTATTAAAGGGAGGACTTGATATTGAGATCTTCACTGATTTGTATGTCTAAAGAATTTAACCTTTTAACATTTTAACATAAATTAACTGGATGTACTGACTTGCATTTACACTGGAGCACAGAATCCACTTTAACTGGGATTTGACTAAAATCCCAAACTAAAATTTTCATCCAAAATTGTGAGTCAGGGTGCAGCTTTGGCTTTTCTACATGACCATGGGTTGCGATTGATTTTACCACTGTATATTGAATCAGATTTTCTGCATCTCTTGTATGGACGCAGTACAATTAAGCCCCAAGTACCCATGGTGACACACACTGGCTTCACACTTTCATGCAGCCCCAGTTAATTGGTTTTGGATGACACTGTTCCTATGCTATCAGTAGTGAGACGGGTAGTTACACTTGTCTGCTAACTATTTTCTAAAACATGTAGCCAGTGGTAGGGGAAGTACTCAGATCCTTAAATAAAACTACTGTAACAAATAAAATGAAGTGTAATCAGAAAAATGTCTTTTAAGTATTCAATGCAGAGTTATTAGATTACCAGTCTGTATGGCTTGCAGCATTTTTTTCAATATGGATTAATCTGTTGATTATTGTCTTCATCAAACAGTCCAAACCTCAAAATGATTAAAAATAAAATAATTAAAAGAAAAACTGTTACGTTTGAGAGGATGTGAAATATTTGGTATTTTAGCACCAAAATTATTTGATTGATTTTCAAAATAGTTGTCAGTTTCCTGATTTATTTCCAGTGTCCTCCGTAGTAGCTTTATGTCTAGTTAAATCAAGTAAAGTCAAGAAACATTTTCCTCAACGAGAGTTAGTCATCTGTGAAGTAGTTGGCTCCGTGTTTTTTGTTTATCCTGACGACACAGAAATGCTGAGTCTTTCTGTGGTTTCTGAGGTTTGGGAACCTCCTGGTCATGCAATAGTTGTACAAATCCCTGCAATGTACGAAAGTTAAAGGAAACTTAACTTACAATGCTGAGCGACCGATTCTCCATTTTTTCACATCTTACTGTTGTGAAAGTGTCAAACATCGTAGTTAAAGCCTTTACGTTGTATGAAAACCCAATTTCAATTTGTGAAAACTTAATTTTATTTATGAAGGCGTGAAAGGAACATTCCACCGCTTTCACATTTAGACCACATTGGATCAGATTTAGACCAAAACCCACTATACTTAGACTTGTCAAATTTGAACTAGATTGTCCCAGACAAGCTAAATACTCTATAACACACATCTTCAGATTTGTTAAACGTATGTCCTATTTGTAAAAACATTTTTTAAAAATACAGAATGAATCGGTCGCCCAGTATTATAAGTTAAGTTTCCCTGAAGTACCGAATCGGAAGCTAACTCCAGCGTCGTCTGTAACGTTAGCTAAAGCCTGTTATTATAGCACCTAGCTGAAGCGCAGAATGACCAACGGTCCAAAGTGGACCGTTACAAATGGCCTGAAAACGTTATAACGTTCGGGAACAAGCAGGGACAGTGACAGGACAGTTTTACCAGCACTGAAATGTTTTCAGTAGTGGTATTTAACTTGTCTTTTGTATGTTCCGTTACCTAAATTTATGTTGTATACTACTATAAAACGCAAAGTTTAGTTGCAGATTGGAAGCGGGCAGTTATTAAACTAGCATTAATATGGAAGATTAATAGCAGCGCTCTTGGTTGCTGCTATACAGCTGCAACGTCCTGTTTAGTAGGAAATCAGGAGGAAAAGCGCCACATGCTTTCCTTCATCGCCGCCCCCTCCCCGGCTCGGTCAAACTTGGACAATCGGCCCTCGGGGCTGCAGCACCTGACATATTTAACGGCTAAAACTGAACCTACACTTTTTACTGGGCCACCATCGGGTGACTCCTGTACTTGTGGGAGACGTCGGTACTTTCTGTCCTTCCTCTCCTTCGGAAACATCATGCCTGTGTTTTTTTCCGTTTGATTCACCGTGGCGTCGCCAGCGCAGCACAAGGAGCAATGGTCTGACAAAACAGTGACAGAGTGAGGGACATCCTTGTTGCCACAGCAACTAGCCGAAACACAATTTCCGGTTAGAGGAGAGACATTTCAAAATAAAAGTAGTTTTTCAATTCATGTTACATTTTGGGATCCTTGTACATGAAAGTGTAATGGTCCAAACTGTGTTTTCACCAGAGGTGGCAGAAGTACTCAAATCTTATTCTTTATTATCTTTCATCACATTCCCACCGGGTCAGAAGTTTAAATACACTTAAGTAGTATTCTGTAGCATTGCCTTTGAATTGTTTAATTTGGGTAGATGTTTTGGTTGGCCTTCAACAAGCTTCTCACAATAAGTTGCTGGAATCTTGGCTCATTCCTCCTGACAGAAGTGGTGTAACTGAATCTGGATTGGAGGCATCCTTGGTCCTGCAAATGTCTTTTCAGTTCTGCAAAACAAATTTTCAATTGGTTTGAGGACAGAGCTTAGTGATGACCACTCCAATACCTTGACTTTGTTGTTATTTTGCCACAACCTTGGAAATGTGCTTGGGGTCAATGTCCATTTGGAAGACCCATTTGAGACCAAGCTTTCAGTTTCTTGAGATATTTATCCACATAATATTCCTTCCTGATAATGCCATCTATTTTGTTCCACCAGAGATGCAGCTGTGGTGGATTTCTGGTAAACAAATGAGACTCCAAGACAGCAATCTGACACACTTCTAACTTTTAACTAAATTCTGTTATATGTATTTTATTATTTATTTTATTTTCCCCCCTTCTTTCCTTTACGTCCTGGAGTAATTTGGATCTCTGTATTGATGTCATGTCCATTTTGTTTTTATTTTAGTCTTGTTTATGTTTTATTTTTTATTCTGTAAATCACAAATACTACTACTACTAGTACTACTACTACTTATAATGACAACAATAATAGTAAATAACAAATATTATTATTGTTATTATCTATACTTGTGCTGCAAAATGAGCATCGCATTTTATACTGGAAACCGTCGGCCGGAAGTTGTTTCTGGTAACTTCTGCTACTTTGATTGTAGACACAAAAAACTGCGAAATCAAGGAGAAGGACAGCGCCCAGAATAACTGTAAACCTCTGCGAACTGTGTGGAGCATCGCGTTGGAAATGGGACTACAGTCATACTCTCCGTGCTGTCGGACGTTAAAACAGAGGTAGGGGCTGCAGGCTTTATGGCCAAGGTCACAGCAAGAATCCTGTTGAATTTTTCTCTACATGGTCATGATGAGTCCGTCCGACGTGAAGTTGCTTTCCTGTGATGTTGTCGACATTATATCCACCAGCTGGCTCTGATTGACCATATCTCCGTTTTCCCAGCGGTTTTTGGTGTTTGTTGTGAGTCGGTGGACCGATACCGTGAGGGAAGAGGGCGTTGGGGGTCCTGGTGTGGACGGGAGAGGACTTTTTTGTGGCCTGTGATGAGCTCCGGGGGCTGGGGTGGGATATGTACGGAATACAAAATCTGTCTCGACACGGTTACACAAGTTTGTTGGTTGAACTCCGTCTTTATTTGAAGTAAAGCGCACGGCCGGGATGTGTGACTGTTTTTATCCGACTCAGTGGCCTGCTGCCGCCGGGTTAGGCTAATCCAGTAATCTGGAACAGAGGTGGTTGCATTTTATTGTAACACCATTACTCCTCATCCTCCTCCTCCTTCTCCTCCTCTTCCTCCTCAAACACACACTGAGACCCGCAAAGTACGGATGAACACTTGTCTGATAGGGCGTGAGCTATATATTGGTTTATATCTGTATTAATGCTCTGTGATTCTCAACGTCCAGTTACATGTAAAAAAAAAAAAAAAAAAAATCTGTGCTGAAGTGATTAGTCGATTAGTGGATGAGCCGATCAACAGGAAATTAATCACTTTTAGTTATGATTAATCTTTTGTCACCTCTGACGTAAAAAAAAAACAAAAAAAAACATTAAATATAATAATAAAACATTAAACAATTTTAGGTTTTTGGCAACAGTTCAGATTAAATAACTTGTCACATCCAAATCCTTTTCCTTATACAGTTTAAGTGCTGACACTTTCCTACAATTAATCAATTAGCCCAGCTATTTTGATAACTGATTAATGGTGCAGGTCATTCCATCTTCTTCAATGCGATGATTGGCTGCCCTTATCTGATTTATACCATTGTAGGTTGAATATCTTTCTATATTCTGTTCATCTGCTGAAATGACCATGTTTTACCTTTTTTGTGATAGTTTATAAACTAAAAAATCAGTTGATAAATAAAAAAGAAAATCAGATTTTGGTGAAAATGATAGTTAATTACAGCCCTGTTCAGTTTACACGGTCAATGATTAATTTGTCAAAAGTAACCGATAACTAAAAATGATTCTAGGCCCAAACTACAGCCTGAACAAGGCCATATATGCTTGTGCATGCAGTGAGCGCATGAAAGGTTTTTTTTAAACAAAACTCCAGTCTTGTGAGGTGATTGGAAACAGTGTCCTCTTTGTTCAGTGTGCTTCGTGGAGAGGATTAATCCAGCTAATGATCTGTAATGTAAGGAAAGGGATAAAAGCACATCTGACAGAGAGGAAACCAGGCAACTGGCTCTCGTAATTATCAATATCACTGAAGCCCTCAGACCTGTGTGTGGGCTGCAGGTATAGCTATTTATGGGTGGGTGAGAGTAGGGCTGGGTATCGAACTTTGACACTTTTATGGACAGACCAAATTAGTTTGATATTCCAGGATATTCGATCGAGGATCAAAAAATGCCTTGTCATTTGATACCAAATTTCAGTACCTAAGGAGTAAACGAGTACATCTCATCAGCATCAGTGAGCCAATAAGCATGCAGCATGCTTGGACCAAGATCTCATAATGCTGGTGATTGGCTGTTTATGTACACGAACACGTTGGAGTGTGTAAGGAGATCGATCTTGAAAATACAACTAAAGTAAAACTAAAACTTGTTCTGTGATGTGTATTGTCATTTTCTTTTTGTTAAAATGGATTTGAAAAAATTTATATCAAAATAGTGTTGATATAGAAGTCAAGGTCTCGGTATCAGAACCAATACTGAATGATATCCAGTCCAAGGTGGGAGTGTGTAAGATTTTCATCTTCTTCTTTATATGTGAGTGTTACCATGATGACATTGCACTTCTATAGCTGTCCCCTCTGAGTCGTGCACTTGTTCTTTGGCCATGTCTTGAAGAAGGTGGTTGGTGTTGGGGTGTTTTATCCATAAAGGCTCTCTGGTATGGCACTTTTTCCTTGCCATGTTCTAACACTGACCCACTCATGTTAATCCCCCCCAGTGTGCAGCTAAGATTAGCGGTTTAACTGGACCACTGGCCTGGTGCACCCCCAAGCCTGCGTCGTCACTGTGTGGCAGGAGAACATAGAAAGACAGCGGGGTGTGTACAGCTTATTCTCGTATCAGCAGTGTTGTGTTTAATAAGGCTTTCATCATATAAAACCATAATCTGTGAGTTTCCATCTCAACAACTGCAACAGGTGGAGCACTTGATCCCATCAGTGATAATCAGACTAATAATAAAGACTTATTTCTCTCCTGTTTGTGAGTTTAGTGTGAGACAATGCAGAGCAGATGTCACCAGTGGCTCTGCCCTGTGCTGGCTCATTCACAGATCCCATGTGTTAATATGGGTTTGGCTCCTGCTTGACAGATTTAGTTTGGTTTAAGTCTGTAATCTCTTTTGTGACTAGATTAGCGCAGGCACGAAACCTCTCTTCCTATAGTTTACCCTGACTGTGGCATCGTGCTAATCTGCATGTTTAATGGCTTTGCTTGGAGTAGAAAAAGGGGGTCAATTTTAACACTCTCACACACAGCGGAGGTATGGTTTTATATTCTTGGGCCAAACTTCTGTGTAGAATTTCCTGTGTAGAGTCAGCCATGAGACTTCCTGTACTCTGGTGTTGGATGTGGAGGGGGGTGGAGAAGTAGGGAAGGAAGGGGAATAGAAGCACAAGCAGACTGTACTGCCCACTGTTGTCAGAGGTGGCCACTGTGGTTGCTGCATGCATGTCGCTCTCTGTCTCAGATTTTCAACAAAACAACGTGGCCGGACTGAGGAAGTGAAAGAGTGGTTTCCACCACCACCCCCCCACCCCCCTCCCAATTTTTTCTCCAGTGACCTTTGTAATTATCAGACTCCTTGATAATCACAGAGAAGGAGAAAAAAAATCTTGTCAGGTACAGTGAGGTATGAGGTGAAGCCAGACATTTTTGTCTCTAATGTCTCCTTTTTGTATAATTACAGGACATGTCTTTTGGTTTGTTAAAGCCACAGTGCAACACTCAGCTCTCCAAGCATGCTACAGTAGTGACAGTATCTCTCCGCTCAGCAGGTGAGCAGCCCTCTGTCTGCCTCACTCTCTGTCCTGCCAGTTTCCCTGATGCCTGTTTTGAATGTACTTTAATTGAAATAATCAGGAAGCCTTATCAGAACTGATCCCACGCTCTATCTCTCTCCCTGCCTGTCTCTCTCTCAGCACTGTTTGATCCAAGAGAAACGTGCCTTGTAAGGAAGCAGGATGTTCACAGGATCCACCAAACTGCCACCCACTAAAATCCCCCAGCCTGAACGGCTGGATGAAGTGTACGCTGCCTTACGTAGAGGCTTACAGTGAGTAAACACCCCTCGTGCAGTCTTTGCATTGATTACATCGGATTGCTGCCAGGAGGAATATCACTGAAAATGGAGGATACGACTGCTTTTACGTCTTGTCATGAAGAAGTAACAGTGATGGGTTTTTTGTTGTCAGGTCGTACCTGCAGGTCCACCAGCTGGAGCTGGACAGTCTGGGTCAGCAGATCAAAGAAAACAAGAGAAATGGTCGTTTGGTGAGAGCCCAAGTAGTGAAACCAGTCACACCACTATTGACTGTGATTCAGTACCAGGCTGGCTGCTGTTGATTCCAGTCCTCAGTCAGGATGTTAATTTGACACTTTGTGATGCTAAATGTCTTGATTGTTTTTGTTTTATTTTGCAGGGGTCTTTGTATGAGCAGGATAAGGTGAGTTTCATTCACACCTGTTGTATACACACGTGAATGCAGGACATTGAAACTTTTTACAGGTGTAAGAGAGAATAAGATAAGTATTAGTATAAGTATTAGCTTGTCAAGTTTGACAATTGTTTTGTTTCTTGTAGCAAGTGAAAGCCATAGAGAGGTTCATGCGTCGCTTGGAATTCCATCTCAGCAAGGTGTGTATGAAATGATTGAATTAACAGATGCATAGTTTTACTATTTAAAGCTGCTCTTTTCATTATTTTTATATATTGACAATGGATGAATTGACTGCCTAGTGTGAAAGGAGTTGCTCACAGTGATGAACCCCCACAGAGAGTTATCACTTGACTCTGCTGTATCCCTCAGCTCTGCAGAGCTTTAGCGTCTTTTGGTCGATTGTTTTAAGTTAACATTAAGTTAATATTACAGTCATTTTTTGAAACCTGTGCAATATTTGCTATTCCAGGTTGAGGAGCTGTATGATGCTTATTGTATACAGCGACGACTGCGTGATGGAGCGAGTAAGATGGTGGCGGCCTTTAACTCCGCCACTGGCAGCAAGGAGGCCAGAGAGAGCCTGAGCGAGGCAAACAAGGGATACAGGGAATGTACAGAGGCAAGTGACAGACCTGAGGTCAATGAGCCTATACTGAATGTGTCAGCATGTACACTGGCTGTGGTTCTCTGTGCTAGAATGATATTAGGCCATTTTTATTACAATATAATTTGGGCTACAACTAACAATTATTTTCATTACCAAGTAATTTACAGATTAAGAATTATAATTTCACAGAGTCCAATGTGATGTTTTTAAATAGCTTGTTTTGTAAAACCAACAGATATTAAGTTTATCATTTAAGACAAATAAGCGGCTAGTCATCACATCAGAGGAGCTAAAAACAGCATTTTTGCCTTACTTATTTTTTAAATGATTAATCAGTTTTCCAAATAGTTGCTTATTGATTTTCTCTCAAACAACAAATCAATGAATCAACTAATCGTTTCAGTTCAAAATGTCATGGCAAATGATACATTATTAAAACCCCTTATTATTTCTGTCTCTGTAGCACATGTGCTCACTTGAGAGTGAATTAGAAAGCCAGATGGGAGAATTTCATGTCAAGATGAAGGGTGAGTCACTTTCTACACTCGTGACTTCCTCCTCCCACTATTTGTCAAGTTCTCATTTTTCTGTTGATTTCTGATGTTTCAGGCCTTGCTGGCTTTGCACGGCTGTGTGCAGGTGACCAGTACGAGGTAAGAAACGCAAATTCAAGCACAGATACGGCACTTGAGTCTCGATGCCTGTTGTATCTCATCAGCTGTTTTTGGCCCCATTAGGTCCTGATGCGTTATGGGCGTCAACGCTGGAGGCTACGAGGCCGCGTGGAGGTCAGCAACAAGCAGATATGGGACAGCGAAGAATATATTTTCCTGCCTCTCGTCACAGAGCTGCTGTCAATCAAGGTAGTGAAATCAGCTTTTAAAGGATGAGACTCTCACTATTCGACATTTTTCATGTTGTCAACAAATTTTATAAAACGCCCAAAAACAACAATGTCTGACTTTCCCCAAGCTTATTGGTTCTTACTCGAGACATTCATCTTCAAAAACAGGCCACAGTTAGTAGGTTTCATTATTAAAATTTTCTAAAACAGCTCTAAAATTAATGTTTTTAGCAAATGTTACTCAAACAGGAGTAAATGGTGCATTTGAGGATTAATACACATTTGGTGAGTATTTACTGCTGTAGGATGGTGTATATGAAATCGACTGAAAATAAACTATGGTGTGTGTGTTCAGTGTAATAGAGAAACCTGTCACAGTGCAATTATGTGGCTCAGTGGAGGAGGAAAAATCTATATCAGGTTTTAGCTAAACAGGAAATGCTCGTTAGCTGGATCAATTCATTGTTAGTTTTGGTCTTTTAATGTTTGTTGACAATAATAAGAATATATTCTGCCATCAATCTTATCCTTTAACTTACTACATTCATACTCACAAAAATGCTGCAGATTGTGACTGTGGTTTCTTCCTATCCTCATTTGTCTGGCACTTGTCTGTTTTGGTTGTCAAGGTGACGGAGCTTAAGAGCCTGGCCAATCATGTGGTGGTGGGTAGTGTGTCCTGCGAGATGCTCGACCTGTTCTGCCCACTCCCCCAGACGCTCGCCGTGGACATCAACGACCTCGGGACGGTGAAGTTAAACTTGGAGGTCACCTGGAGGTACTTTAACCTGCAGCACACACCTCTCCCAGCATCAGCATCTTTGATTTTTGTCATTTTAAAATTTTAACATGTTTATTCAGGTGTCTTCTGCCCTCTCAGTTTTTTTTTCTTTCTGTTTTTTCCCCTCTCTCTCTTTCAGCCCGTTTGATAAGGATGACCAGACGTCATCCACCAGTACAGTTTCTAAACGGCTGTTGTCCAATCAGAGCCCTCCTGACACGCCCTCTATGCGGGAGCAGGTGTTTTATGTGAGTCACATTAAAAGAGATATTCAACTTCAGCGTTTTTCCACTTAATGCAAATCCTTCACACCAGATGTTACACCACCAGTTTCACCAGTTTGCCAGTTTCACAAAGACACACTTTGATTATGGTTTAGATCTGAACAGTCAGACTTCAGATAGACATCTAAACTCATCTGTTGCAGAAAGTCTTAAGTAGAACTAATTTGCTATATGTTCTGGGCAGCTTTAACTTTTAAACTTTTTTCCAAAATAAAAAACATGGCTGAACATGTGAACCACATACGACCACTCAGCTACATTCTCTTTGGCAGAAACATTTATACAGTTACAGAAAACTTTTTACTGGTAAAATTCAGCAAAGAGTGTAATGAAAAAATACAATTCTCAAGACAGTGCAGACTCACAGCAGAGCTGAGATGCCTTAAAATAAGGATTTATTGTTGTTCAACTGTGTAATTTGTGTTAGACTGCTCTAAGAACAAACTTAAGACTGCAGACAAATCTAAAATATCTTTGTGAAACCAGCCCCTGGTTCATAATTTGTATAAAGGGTTTGTAAACTCCTTATTTTCACTACACGCACACATATATATATACGTATATATATATATATATATACACTGTATATTTGCAATTTATTTCACTGATGGCTATTATTACTGTCATTTTATTGGCTTGTTCTATTTCAGCTGCTCCCCAACTGCTTTGTCTGTAGCAGTAGCACTAATGTGTGTGAGGACATTCACAGAGGTCTGTGTGTTAGGACATGTGGTTGCGAGAGTGGCGTGGCTGATGTGAGGAGAATGAATGATAGCAGTCGTGAGCTGTGTGACAGCAGCAGCATGTATGAACGAAGCTGTGGTCCTTGTAGCTGTTTAATTGTGGTTGAGTAGCGCTCCAATATGTCCCTCCTCTTCCTCACCTCGCTGAAGAGCGTGCCTCATGGCAGGCCCAGACAGAACTACTCACTGCTGGAGGCCTTCCACGATGTCCCGACGGACAGGACGGCATCCTTGCGTTATGACTTCAGCCGTACAACCCCTCGATTCACCTCTGTACAGTCGGTGTGTTGGGATGTAGTTGTAGCTGTAGTTTAGTTTATAATCAAATAGTATATCAAATTATCAAATAATTAACACAAAATATGTCAAATATAAAATAATAAACGTAGTACAAACATGTCTAAATGTGTTTTAAAAATGTTCTGTCAATTGAACGAATTGTTCCTGTTAATTTCCAATCAAATCCTAATAGAAAAAGGATGATCACGTCTAATTGAATCTTAACTGAAGAAAGACTACGACGGGCATTTTGTCAGCTGCTATATCAGTACATTATAGCAAAGATAGCAAATTCTGAATGTTTAAAGCTGCAAGCAGCAAATGTTTGCTGTGTTTTAGTTGATAAACTATAAGAAATATTACATTTATTACTGAAATTGAATTGGACTAATTTATCCAGTGGTTCTCAAACATTTTCTGTCATGCTTCCTGCCTCCTTCTCCCTGTAAACCAACAATATTTTATTTAGCATTTACAGTGTTTGGGAAATTAACAACAAAAGGAGCCTGAATGAACGTTATAACAGTGAAATAATATTACTGTGGTGCAGTTAAAGGCTTTGCCACTACTTTGACAGTAAACCCAAGAGCAGGATGGACTTATTCAGATTGTCTTCACTTTAGCCTCGACTGACGTCTTAGCTGGATGAGCCTCAGCAGTTTTTCTTTTTTACCTGCCAAAAATCTGTCCACTGCACTTAACATTACATTTTGTTGTTTGAATAAATCTTACTGACCTGAAAATGTGTAGCCTAGCCAACATGAAAATACTCTATTTCTTGTTATTAGTCCCACATGAAACAGATTGTATTCAATTTTAGTTCCAATCTGTATCACATTTTCAGCCTTGGTTGTCCCCCCATTCAATACCTCTATGACCCACAGTTTGAGGACCACTGGATTAATGAATTTGGTAACTGTGTACACAAAGCCTCTCTGTCTGTCTCTTTCTCATCTCTTCCTTCTCTGTGTCCCTTCTAGTCTCTGCTGAAGCGACAGGGGGAAATGGATAACGGGACAGTCTGGTCCAACTCCTCTGAATCCTCTGATGACTCCTCCAGTCCGGCGCTGGCTCATCACGCTCAGAGGCTGACGGCCTCCAACATGCTGCAAAGCACTCTCACCAGTCAGCTGTCCTTCACTCCGCACAAGTCCAGCGCATCAACACCATCACTGTCGTCCAACCAAGAGGAGGACGAGACAGAGGCCGGGGAGGTCTTCTCTCAGAGAGATGCAGTGCCTAACGGCCATCTGCAGACTTCCTGCTCTCACAGCCACGTGAGTGAGAGCAGCCCAGACTGTACTGTGACTGACAGGGCGTCTGTCCCGTTAGCTGACCTCTCTGAAACCTCAGCAGACCTGAGCTGCTCATGCCCCGACGTCTCGTCTGCACATCCTGTGTTGTTGGTGGAGACAGCTGAGAGCCATGTGTCTGAAAGTGGCATCCCACAAGTGTGTGTTTCAGCAGAGGATGTAAAGGATGATCCATGTGAGGACTCATCTGCACAGGCTGAAGCAGAAACAGAGGACAACACCACTGAAGTAGGAGGTGGCCACCAGGTAGAAGCATCAGAGAAACACAGTCAGTCACATCAGTCCATCCAGGAGCTAAAACAATCAGAGGATGCTCCAATGGTGAGTTCAAGAATAAGTTTATCTGTTGTTTTTTTTAGTCTAATGTGTTGATGGGGATATTTTAAACTCCTGCATTTGTTTTTCCATAGGTTCCTTTTCCTACTTCCTCTAGTTTCACTCAGGAAGTTGAGACAGCCCTTGAAAGTTTTGACTTTCTCAACTGCTCTGACCTTGAGGAGGAGGAGGAGGAGGAGGAGGAGGAGGAGGAGGAGGAGGAGGAGGAGGAGGAGGAGGAGGAGGAGGACGAGAAGGAAGAGAAGGAAGAGGAGGAGAAGGAGGAGGAGGATGAGGAGGAAGAAGAAGATGAGCATCAAGAGGAAGAGGAAGGAGAAAAGGAAAAGGAGGATGGACAACATGAAGAGGACCAAAACAAAGTGGAGGAAGAAAAAACACAGGAAGAAGAAAAGGTTGAAGAGAATTTCTACTCTGGAGGAAGGTCAGTGTCGTGTTTTGTCACAAACTAGACAGAAATATTTGTTGATGGTTTGTAATAGTTATTGTTGCCTAGCAAGTGTCGGCCTAGTCGGCCATATTGGAGCCATAAGTTGCCCAGGTGTGATTACAGATTGGAAGTTGACTAAACGCTCTGAGGTCACAAACTGGGACTTACAATAACTCTTAATTTCACATGGATGTGAAATTGCTTTATTGTTTCTGAAACATATGAAGCCTCACAATGTTGGACCCATGGAAGGATTTCTGAATGGGGCCTACGAGGCACAGGACCAGGGGCTCGAGGTGTCAAGGGGCCCTTGGGCCAGAGGCTCTGTTTGAAGTGCCTGTTAATATTTCCTGATGGAAAGTCAGTCAGATGACCACAAAGGGACACAAAATGACTGTAAATGCTGCGTCATTTTGTTTCTCTTTCAATGTCTTGCTCCTTTTACATGTTTGTTCCCATGGGCCTGTTGTCTCAAATTCATGCTTTGCAGCCAAACATGGTTCAAATCCACATAACTGTATGTTATATTCTTGTGGAGATTTGTGTGTGTAGGAACGCCTTATGCCCTTTAACATGTATAGATATTCTGATGATTGACATGTCTCAGAAAAATGTAATAACACATGATTTCAGTGGAGATTCCAAAGTTTCCAAAGACTCCCATGTGTCAGGCTGAATTTTGGATAAATGTGTACACAATGATGCACAAGACATGACTCTTGTGTTTGAGTATTTCACTCAGTGTGAACATGGTGTAGCATCAATGGAAAGGTGGAACAAGATTCAGAACATGCGTGATTCTGTCAGTGTGGATTATGATGGTTCTTCTAACATAAAGTGACTCACAGGGAGAAAAGCAGGGGGGTTAAAAGGTTTTTAATTGATGTGTGTCTGTTTGATCCGAGTCTTTTTCACTGTCACATCAGTCTACTTTTTGTCTCGCTCAGCAGTGATGTGGAGGAAGCAGATGGCCTTGAGATCCTTATGGAAGCCCCAGAAGGATTTAGGAACTCAGATGAGGATCGTTTCTCTGAATCACAGGTACACAGAGAAGAGATGTTGCAATATACCTGTATTGAAAATAACAGTGATATTTTAAAAAAACGACAAAAAATTGGTGCTTAAAGTTTTTTCTTTTTGCAAAAGGAGTCGAGTGTGGAAGACGTGCAGGATTTGGGACAGATAGAAATGCCAGAGGAGAAGGAGGAACCCAGCGAGGAAAAGGGAGATGAACGACATGGTGAGAGGAGTTTCTACTGCCTTGTTTCAGTAAACAGAGACAGTATTTGATCATGTGACAGCTCAACTGGTGGCGTGAGGAGTTCGTTAATTTGCCCTGTTTTTAATCTTTCAGGAAAAGACGCATCACATGATCAAGAGGAAAGTCCCTCCACCCCCAGCCATTTGGCCACTACTGTCTTTTAATGACACAGTGGAATTATAACTAAACCATTTCTCCCACTCTGATCTACTCATGCCATCTCCCTCTTACGCTGAGGGACCAGAGGCCTTGAGGGTGTTCCACTTACTGCTCAGACAAACAAGCTCTTCCATTACGGTGGAGTTTGTGCACATATTTGCCTTGTTCTGACCAAGAACGATAAACCTCGGGGTTTCTGCACCTCAGTCATGACTGAAAAAAAACCACACGCACACACATGTCCCTTCAAAAGTTCTCGCTCCTTCAACACACACTCTTGTCATGTTGCCTGGGTTTAAGTGGGATACCACATAAGTTTACACTTTCATAAACTGTTCCTGTCATGTGCAAATTCAATGTCCAAATTGCCAACATTTCAGGAACAGCTAAAAGCGGCCTTGTTTTTGGCTTTATTATAGTGCATTTTTTAAGTGATCTAATAATTTCGAAATGGTTTTATAAGTTCAAGTTGATGCATTTCCTCAATCTACAGAGAACACAATCACTTACCGAGTTACATTTCAAGGTTTTCAAAACTATCAGTATTTGCAGACATGAAAAACTATTAAGGGTTTATGATTTTCAGTGTTAAATTGGCGTACAGCCTTGAGCTCTTTCACTGTCAGCAGGACAGGAAAAGATTTCATGAGCATGTGATGTTTGTCTGAAGATTTTTATCAACATGAAGTCATTTCCAAAGCAGGAATGTACCCTGAGAACCAACAGGATATTTTCATTTTAGGCATCAGAGACAGCTAATGAGAATATTCAGTGATACATGATTAACCTTCAAAGCTGTACCAGGGCCTGAGCTGAATAATGAACAGACATTATGTAGGAAATGAATAGAAACACTTGAAGGATAGCAGTCTGAGTTTCTCTTCAAAACTCATTTTGGTCCAGTTTTTACAAACATGGAAACAATCTGCAGTGTAAAACTATATTTAAATCTGCATGTGTAGCTGCCTCACACTGCCAGCATGTCCGTATGAAAAGCTCATCTGATCGGTTTTAGTGTGTAAGCTAGGCTCCAGTTTCAAGGAAGCCATTGGGTCTGTAGCTGTGTACAAAAGCTGCCTCACGGGGGCGCCATAGTCTTTCAGCATCATGCTTTAACGTCGTTCTACAAAAGCCTCGTCATTCAGAAAGTGCCTCAAGTGACAGAGATGGAAGGTTTTAAATGCCGGGACAGGAGGGATCAGGCAAAAGATAACAGTGTTTATTTTCTGAATTACTTTAAGAGTGTGCACAATAAGAGATATTTACTGTTTCATATAAAGAATTGTATATGTCTTGAAATGTTAAAATGTTTTATGTTCAGAAATGTTTAAACTTTATAAAGGTTTCTTTGAAGGTAACATGTGTGTTGTTGTGTTGAGTGAATCAACATGTGTAGGGACTGTGACAAACTGTGGTTTGGTTTACAACAACAAGAGCGCAACACCAACATTTCCTGAAGGATTATTTATTTTTAAACCTTTTAATTGAAGGTGTTATGAGCATAAATGAAAGCTGGAATGTGGTGCTCTTTGGCTTTCAGATAACTGGACCAAAGAACTAAAATGTCAAACGACACTAAGGCGCTGTTTTGAAAAAGAAACGTAGCCACTTTATTCAAGCAAACTCACTCTGTCTACATATAAGAAGGGTTGAGCAGTTGTGTTTAGCCAAATCTGTATGTTGGCTCATCTTAAGGAAATGACAGTACCAAGTTCACATCATGACAGGAAAGTCAAAAATCATTTGCATTGTCGATCCTGCTCTCCCATTCAAATAGCAATCTGTTAAAATGTCTAAAATCACACAAAATTCAAAAGGACACTGACATATCAAACTAACAAAGTGTCAACATCACACAACATCTGTACATCACAAACTGAGCTTGAATCCTTCTCCCATTCACGGTACTGTTGTAATGCTAAAAACTGAAGTGCAATTTATCAGCCCAAAAATGAATGCTTAAAAAGAGGACCCCAGTGAAAACCTATTAACGCCACCTGACTATCATTTGCACATAAACTCATTAACTCTGCTTTCAGTGCAATTAACATCACAGATAAAACACAGCATGACAAAACAAGTTAAAAAAAATACACAGTCCGTCTTCCAACTGTCTTCTTTTCGTTCAGTTTCTCTGAAAATAAAACAAAGACATATTTGAATATTATTATTACAGAAAATGCAAAGTGCTCACCTTTCAACATAAAAAAAAGCATAAACACAGTTTGATGTTTAGTTTTCATATTCACATTATATTTTCCACCTAAAGGTCCATGAGAAAAGAAAGGAGCTGAATGCATTACATTAAGCTTTATGAGAGAGATAAAACTTTATTTGCTATAGAGATGCTACTGCCCTGACCTCTGACTGTATTGTATTAATATTACTATTAAGAATACTGTATTTTTCATAACATTATTTTTAGTTAATAATATGTTATATGTTATGTTATAATATAAATATATTAAGACAGGAAACAACATTCATATAAGAACCTTTGACCTTAGTTTGACTGCAAACTGACAGAAGCACCACAATGTTTAAATACATATGTTGGTATGAATGTGTGTGAGATTATTTTAATTGTTTGTACTGTTTTCCAGTCAGGACTAAACCAGGGATCACTGCAGTTTCCAGTTTAAACTTGTCTGCCACCTCTAACTTAATAATTTATTAAAAGAAAATGAGCGACTGCTGACCAAAAACTCTCTGAACACAAGAATATTTAGGTTCACGCTGAAACTATTAAATAGTTGGGTTTTTTTTTTATACTGAATGCAAATCAGTATTTACTGAATGCAAATCAGTATTTAATATGAAAGAGAAGGTGAGGTACCAACAGCTTTAGGTACCAACACTCTGAGCTAAATCTCTTATTCACCTAAATCTAAGTGTCAAATCCCTGTGGTGTAAAACAAGAAAATGCCAGACATACCCAGATGCCACGTGTACATACTTGTTTCTGAGTTTCAGAGCTTGTCTTCTCACCTAAAAACTCAGCGGCTGCTCCAGCGACCCTCCCATCTGCAGTAAGGCTGCACTGAGTCCGGCCTTCAGCGCTGAGTAGTCGGGCTGCTCACTGTACTGCAGAGCCATCACTGCAGTCAGGTAGTTTTGAAATGCACCTACACCATGATATACAAATGGATGTTATACAATGAGCAGTTGGCATCTAATTACACACTTGTTATACAGTACGTTAAATGAGAAACATTTGAACTCACTGGAAACTTTCGTCTTCCCAAAGCAGTGAGTCAACAGTGCAGGAACATCCTCCATGTACCTAAAATGGGAATCTTTGAGTATTTTTATTTTCTTTGTATTGTACTACTGACTGAAATATACATGTTGATGATATGCAGGAAAGTAGCAGGGTTTCGATACAATTCAGTATTTCTATGGTGTTTTGAAGGTGTGTGGACTTTAAATATCCCACGGGTGATGAACTCTCTCACCTCTGTTTCTGTGTGGCTACCTGGTCCGGTTGAGTGAGGACGGTCCACGGCAGCGTCCCTGAGTGCCATCGCAGCATGCAGTAACCCAGAGACTGCAAGTCACTGCGTCGGGATGGCGCTGAAAGCACAGAATACACACACAAGACAGTGACGACAACATCTGTTCCCCCTCCCAGATCAACCCCGACACATCAACAACAAAACAATCCTCAGATATACATATCAGCCGGTTTGCTTTGGTTCTTATTAGTCAAGCAAGTAAAATGTTGAGATAAGTACACTATAAGATATCACAATCAGCTTCGTGAGAAAAGATCAAATCAGTGTAATTATGTGCAGCCTGCTTGTGCTGGCTGACAGCTCCGCAGACAGATGGACTGTGGGAGGACTGCAGCTACCCCCTCGTGGCAGGAAGAAAACTAAATCTGGCAGTGTTTGGTTTACAGTGTCTTATATGGTGAAATTATGTCTATTTCTCTATTTTAGTTTTTGGGTGAGGAGTCAGTGAAGCACAGAAATGACACACCTGCTCCTTTATGTGCATCCAGGCTGATGAACTCTATGGTGCCCTCGTGTGGTGTCCTGCTGGCTTCACGGTACTCAACATGTTGGCCCCCTGGACAGTACCTGAAAGCATGGCAGTATCCTACAAGGTAGACCTGAACACACACACACACACACACACACACACACACACACACACACACACACACACACACACACACACGAAGAGACTGGTCAGCGTAAAACACATAACAATCACGGACAGTGACAGAGCAGATTGAGAATATTTCTCACCTGTGAAGTCTGTCCTGGTTTGATGTAGATGTTTTCTGCATTAATATCAGCATGAACATATTCGTTTGAATGGATATACTCCAGAACATCCAACTGCCAAAAGAAAGAAAAGAGAGAAATGTTACAGATTATTCATAAAGAGGGAGTCAGTTTTCAGAGTTCTGGGTCATATATTATTTGGGGACAAAGCTTAAAAGTATTGTCTGACAACCAATCAAACAGGTTTACAGATGATGTGAGAACACTCACTAGTCTACAGGCAAGCTGAAGAACAGCTTTCTCGGTCAGAAAATCATCCTCATCCTCAATGATGGACTGGAGAGACTGGCCCATGTTGGGAAAAATTAGAAACCTGTAACAAAAAAATAACAACGTATAGAAAAACCCCAAGTTAATGAAAAAATGATTTCATATAATGAGTAAATATTCACAGAAAAACTTCTTCCACACCTGTAGGAATCTGCATGAGGACCAAAGCCAACACAAGAAGGAATACCCAGAAAATCCAACTTGTTTTGCTTGATCCACTTGTCCACTAGACAGAGACAATAGGTTTTAACAGGAGGGTTATTATGTGGGGTGTATATGTAAAATTACACAAATCAGTACTGCATCTAAAAGTGGGTTAAAGATTGAATTTGTCCCCCAGACTGACATGATGTTGCCCATGTTGAATAAATTCTTGTCCACTTCTGCTTTCCTCTGAATGGATGATGGATTGAAAGACACTTGGTATATGAAACTGCCAGAATCCTTCTTACTATCCACCTCTAGTTCAGACTGTAGTTGTGAGTGGTTCTGTGTGCGATTCATCTGTGAAGACTTTGATTTTTGATCAGCACGTTACAGCAACTGAAAGACTCAAACAACTGACTGTGACAAATGCTGATGCTATCCTTAGTTATAACAAAGTTACTTATCTTGTAGTTGTCACCAGAACAGTCAGTCAAGCTATAACTGCAGCCCACCCTCCATGAGTGACAGAATATCGTCACCGTTTTGCCAGTTTTTTGGAACCAAAACAAGAAAAAAGAAAACACACTTAACCCTCACCAGATGCAGGTTTGGCAGCTCTCTGCAGAAAGTTCTGCTCATTGAAAATTCTTCCATCTTTAGCTCCCTAAGAGGACGAAAAAACTTTAGTGATCCCACTCAGTGAAATTGCTCACTTAA